GAACACGACAAACATTACATTCGGGCTGAGCATATAGCCTACTACACGTCAAATTTCATCAGCTTTCCTAATCTCTACTTGCTTTCCACCGTAGATGCATACTTATTTCAAATAAGCTTCCCCCGTTGTGGTATCGCGCCTCGGCCGGGTCTCGACCATTGCGTTTCCAGGCCCTGCTTAAACATGGGAGTTCCACCAAGATTTCCCCCTTTTCTTCAAAAAATTAGAAAAAATGTTTTTATCGTGTGGTCTTTTTTCATTTTGGAGAATTTCTCTCTTGAACCAGGAATGCGGCTTTCTGAGTGTAGTAGATGCATGCGATAATGTTTCAGAACGAGTTCATTCTACACCAGGACATTAATGTTCAGCTTTGTACATCTTGCTTTAACTTTTTCAGCCTCAGAGCAAATTCCACTTGGTGGCGGAGTCAACTGGGCAACTTGTGAGCCTGCTGGCCCAGAAGTGCCGCAGCGTAGCCCTGTTGACTCTCCCAACGGTGGCCAGGTTTTCGCCAGATTGTGGCGTCAACCGCAAAGTGGCGGACTTCAATGAACGTCTCCGACGTTTGGCTCGAAGTAAGTGTCTTTGTTCTATTCTCGCTGCTGATGTTAACCTAGCCCTAATGAGGAACGGGATTTTTCGAAATTGAAGTGCTTCACATTTGAGTGCTTCTCACTACTCGTTAGACATCAGTATTTTTCCTCCTTGATGGATTGTGTCTGTTTATTTTGTTTTCTTTTGTTTTTAAATGGGCCTTTGAAACTTTGAATATGATTGATGGTTTGGCCTCTTGAAAAAGTGCGCAATAGTGCTGAAAACGTGTAACAATTTTGAGCGCAAGATACAAGGGTTTGGGACATATCACTTTCTTGTTTTTGAGTCATAACAAATGCATGTGTTAATCTGTAGGTTTATAATGGCAATATGTGTGAAAAATTGTGTTTTTTTTCACAAACTTTTTTCAAGATTTCGTGCTCGCCCAAATTTTACACGTTTTCAGCACTATTTTTCAACTTCTGTTGAGACCAAACCATTGAACATTTACAAAGGCAGCCTCCTCTAAATAAAGGCATTACGATCTGAACCAAAGGTGCAACATTTCATTGCCCTTGGAATATGTTGTGACTTCATAAAGGCATTAAAACTGAAGGCCCCTAGAAAAGTATGAAGTCCTACCTTAGATTTTTCAGTGCGGATGCAGTTGCACTTTTGTAAATTACAGTCAACTGCTTTTTCATTCATTAAGATTTTGCTTTCACTTGAAAACACATGTTTTTTTTTCTTCTGTTAAACAGGGTACCCACAGTGCATAATTATTGAAACCGAAGAAATGTGCAAGGATAGCCAAGGCCAAGTACTGCTCAAGTTCTATCAAGCGTAAGTACTTCTTATTTTAATAGTAATTGCCGTACTTACAGGCTGAACTCCTTGTGCATCACCCGTCGAACTTGTGCACACGCCTATTTAAGCCACTTTTGAGGTAGTAGGTCAGTCTTCACACCCTTTACTCAGGTGGACGGAGTTGATACCCGAAGGACAGCTCGCCCCAGCTAACTTGCCCCAGTCCCAAGTCGCCCCATGCCCAATTCGCCCCAGCCCACGTCGCCCCAGCCCAGGTCGCCCCAGTGCTAACTCGCCCCAATTTAAATGTATTTTTCAAAGGATTTTCA